CCGCTTCCCAGACTAGAACCCATGAGTTTTGTCACATTATCGAGCGTCATTCCCTTTCATTATTCCTGACACTCTAGGGGGAGTACTGTAGTGTCTGTAGTCCGTTGTCACATTTACCATTCTTCCTGAACTTGAACCACACTTTGTAACTGTCGTTCACATTGTACCATGACGTTCGTTTTAATGTTACGAATACACAATTTTCCAGTGCGACCTGCTGACTTCTTGCTGAACGAGTGCATTTATGCTCCATTGAACTGTTTGTTGACTTCTGAACCAGTGGGACTAAATCTCTGTGTTTGTGTCAACTGTTGAACGTCACAATAAATCCCTGTGACATTATTTTAGCCGTGAATAATTTTCCTACCGTGGAATATATCACTCACGTGGAACCATCTGTGGGAAATTTCGACAAGTGAATATTTCCTTTCACACCTAGTTACTGCATTTGGATCCGTGTAGTGGGCATTTGGACCTACACATTCGTGAGTCCCCAGTTGACTACTCATTCCTTTCCTTTTGTGATTTTGTACTGGTTACTTTTGCTTCTTAATTATCCGAAACACGCTGATAAGGTCCTAGTCCGCCACAGTACCTATTGGTCCCCCACTGTCACAAGCCGACACTTTAGACTGTCTACCATACTGGGATAGGCCTCCTCCAGTGAAAAAAATCCCTTCGTTGAACCACAACAAACAATCTTAGCATTGAATTCAGTTTCATTTACGATAGTCAACTTGCAGTGCAAAATCTCGATTGTTGCGGAATTTCTAACCCGGACCATGTGGTGTATAAGGCAAGCTATTCTACCGCATTCTAAAGCATTCTACCTTACCCCCACCTGGCATCGCTCCCTCGCCGCAATAATCCTGTGTAAATAGTGCTCAGTTCCCATAAGTTAAACCATGGCCGGAAATCCAATGAGGGCTCCCAGACAAAAAAACGCAGAGTACATGTACTGCGAGATATCGTAATATGAGGAGGTCTGAGGGTAAGGACGTACTGCTCCCTGAGGTTGGAATGTGAACGCAGTGAGCCGTTTTTTGGACGACCTTGATGGAAGCGGCAATACTTTTTCCGTCGGAGTAAATGCGGGTTGGAATAGGTAGGTCAGAAGCCCACACTTTCAGAACGCCCAAAGATTGAACTTGACGTCAGACACATTGTTCAATACAAGTGAAAAACGCTTAAAATCAAGAGATCTGGTGATGCTCAGAAGGTGCTTACTGTGCCCGGCGGCACCAGTGGTGCGACAGCTTTGCCTGAATCCCCGTGTCCTCGAGACAGAGCAGCCCGTACGGCTCAGTGGGTCAGATAACTGAGTCAATGGCTCCTGGAAGGGTTTTTCAAGGAAACTCTCACCTCTGTCGCCTTGAGCTTTCGGCTGTTCGGTCAGGGGTCCATCCGCTGCTTTTTGGGTCAGAATTTAGACATAGGAACTCAATCTGAAGCATCTCAACAAAACCTTAATCCTCAGCAACGGGAGCAGGGAAGCATTGTTTGCTCTTACAGCTTTTCATTTGCGGACACCTCTCCACACGTTCTTTCCATAAGCCATTCAGGTTCACCTGGCAGGCAACCCGTAAACCGTCAATCTATGGCTAACCTCTTACTTTTTAAAACTGCGCAAATAAAGAATTTATTAAATCCCTATCTACACTTTTTCTTCTAACGTCCCTAATCTGAGTGAACTCGGCTACAGATAGCTTCTGTCCGGACCTTGTTCCCTCTTCTAATCGACCCGTGTTGTGTCTTCGAAGCTGGTCTACAAATGCCCAGTTTGGTCATTCATCTCAAACCTCTCAGGGCGAACCCAGCTTTATCACACTTTGATCTTTGAGTGTGTGGTGACTTGGGTACAACAGCTTGCTGCATCTACGGTGTGGGACTTGTGCTCGGTTCTAGGGTTGAGTGATCTTTACTGAGGTGAATTCCGATTAATCTCCTCATTACGCGATTAGACTAATAAGTGCAATAAATACTAGTGCCATTCGGGGGCTGCACGACCTTGGTTCTTTCGTGTCAGAATATGCTTCAGAAGATGGAACGTCTAATCATAAGAAAAACAGCTCCTGAGAAGGTCGTTCAAGGTTGGTGCTCTAGGTGGGAAATACAAATGTCGTAATTTTGTGAAGTGATATGAGTGCGCAGGTTGACCGACGATAAAGACCATCTTGGCAACAGACGCGAATTTAACGATGAATGCAGGGATAACTGGAAGCGACCGTCTGATTTATGTACTAAAGATCCCTTACTTCTACCCAGCACAAACGTTCAGCACAATCGCTCATACCATGTGGTCTGAAGGTCGCCAAGTGTAAAACAGTCGTCCACTCAGCTGGACCAAGCATCCTTTGAAACTGTCGGCCCTATGTCTATTGCACCGCTCAATAAATATTTGGCGTCGCCACTGTCAGGAGCTCCGGATGCAAAAATGAAACACCCTACCGGCACTATATTGTAATGGCGCGCGAACGTCAAATAATGGAAAGCCTAAGAATCGGTAGAAAACTCCGGTGAATCGCGAAAGCAGAAGGGCATAATGGCGCGCGAACGTCAAATAATGGAAAGCCTAAGAATCGGTAGAAAACTCCGGTGAATCGCGAAAGCCAGAAGGGCATTGGAAAAAACAACTGTACTATGATTCAGCTTGGGAGCTTGGGATTAAATGGATCTGTCTTTGACCTCGAGTTCATTCAGAGAAACTTCGTCTTGAACGACGCAGTGAATACTTTGAAAAACAGCCGAGGTGAACGTTGACAGCCCGGCTTCTGTATCAACAAAATGAAAGCCACTCGGACATAAAAACCAACCACCTTCGTCAGTGGAACACTAGAAACTATTGATTCGACACGAACAGGGATATGGTCCAGATCGTTTGCAGGCCACACTCTTCAAACACGTCTAGGGTGTGTCGTTGCGAATGTTTGGAATAAGGAAAAAAGTTTATGCGGACGGAGTGACTCGGACGCTGGTGCACATTAAAAAAATGGAGCAACATCTCTCGAAAACCACCGAAGCATCAATCTAGTGGTCCAATGATCAGGGGGCTCCCTAACATGTTATTGCATGGGTGGCTTCATGATTTGCAAAATGGGATTCCTGAGAATTAAGCTGGATTTCATCACGCATGGTGTGGCATTGATCTTATCTTCATTCTACGACAAGCGCTGGAACTGTGCCATTGTTTCTGACAGCCAACAAGTGATCACATTTCTTGATTTTGGATCTAGCCCTAACTCTGTTGAAAGAAATTATGACAGTATCTGGCCTCTGCCATCCAAACTCTAGCCTTGCGGAAAAGGCTTCATATGCCTCCTTTTGAGGACGCTTACGTGCCCATCAGGATTCCCGGAAAATCATTGATGTTGTTCCGATTCGCTACTTCTGAAAGGTCTGGCGTTTGCATGAACTAAGTACAGGATAAATTTGGTTTCTCAATACTGTTTGAGGTCGTAATATTCATTGGCCTTCAAATGCAGACGATCTAAGTGTGTGTAGTAAGGTTAGATCAGTAATTTATATTTTTAGGAATAGCTTAGTTAAGATCTAAGCGGACCAATAATTTGTTCACGGCAAAAATGTTGGTGAAAGGCTTCAAGTTGGATTTTCCATTCTGGTCTGTTTGATCAGGCTTTTTGGTATTATATATCACGGAAATCCTTCTTGGGTCATGATTTTCCGGCTAAACCTTTGTATCCTGTTTCTGCTTTCTGAGTAATACTTGCGTTTTCTTGATTTTGTACGAAATATACCTTTCATGCAGTCGAATTATCCGCGTGCTGTATAATGATCATCCTTTGTTGGACACACGTAACAAATGTGTCCTGGGGAGCAGCAGGTTAAATCCATAGTTTAATCAATAATGATTCGCGAATGGATCGTGATGGGATCGAAAGCTTTTCACCATGCTTTGGAGCCTTGGAGACTGGTCACGCCTCAAGTTCGAGTTGCAGAGGGAAGAAACTGCGAGAATAAATACCAAAAACTAACTGGGATGCAAGGAAGAACGTAACCTTCGTTGATGGTGTGCAACAGATTACTATCAAAATCCGTTGATTATGAAACGCATCATGCGGTGCTATGTCCATTTCCTCTGGAGTATCGTCACATTCGAGGAGACCGATTACTCAATTATGTTTTGTTTGAGCAACGTTTGGCCAACAGGTTTTTCAACGTTGACCCAGCTAACACATGGCGGGAACAGTGTAAGATTTTAAAGCTCAGGGCGCACACCTCTATTAGGCGACAGTTCATTTCATTTCAGGTAGTTGTTGCGTGAAACAACCTTCCTTTATTATTTGTTTATGCTGCATTCACTACCCAGTCCTATGCAGCTTTCCTCGATTTTTCACTTGAGTCCCCACACTACCCTGCGCTGATAACTTAACGAGCAGTGCTACGCCCTTTTTCCGCTTGTGTCTTTCAGGTGAACAGGAGTCAATGAAAGACAGGAGCAAACTTGACCCGGGAATCATGAGCAAAAACCTGAGCCCTGTACACCAGTCCGTGAATCCGTGAAAAACATACTGATCAAAAGGTACGCCAGTTCACTTAGCCGTCAGCGTCACCTAGTAAATTAGATTTGTTAGCTAAGGTGCCACAAATGCCTTCGCACACCACCATTTTAGCTGGTCAACATGTCTGTCTTGGTGGACGGGTGTAAACTAAATACAGCAAATACAGGGCCAAAAAGGCCTGCCGCTGTAATACATGCTTCGGTGCAAACTAATTGAGGAGGGAGCCATACGCAGTGCAATGGAGTATATTGCTAGTGACTTCTTACACGCGTCATTAGGTTACCTTACTGTCAAAGTCGTGTTAGGATGAAGGTGTCGTTCCTGCGGGACACGTCAGGCTGTTCACATTTTCTGTCCAGTCTAAAACAAATTTTATCTGTTTCCGTTCCAAATATAGTAATATTTAATATCTCATTCATCCAGGAGCTGGTCCATTTTTATTTGCGTCACTCAAAGCGCCAACCCGGCCATGTAAATTTTGAGGCCATAATTTGAAAGGCAAACACCGAGGCTAGCACCCTCTAGTCTGTTAACTGGCCATGTTATCGACCAAAAACTCTCCCGTCTACCACTGCCGGAGAAACGGACGCAATTGAGAGATTAGTTTTAGTTTAAGGGTCAAAATTACCATGGCGAGACATTTCTCCGCACCTCAGCTCATTAGCCACCGACATTTGTCTGTTTTTGAAGGACGACTTCAACTGAATACTGACCACGGACGCACTTTCGTTTGGAGCGGGCTGGCAGCATTCAAAAGGCTTACCCAATGATCAGAGGTCTGTCTGAGGATCGCCCTCTAGAGGCGCAAAACCGGATCACAGTATCTCAAGGATAGAGGCGCGAAACATACTTCCGCTTGGCGGCAGTTCAGCCGACCCCAAACTCATGGCCAAACCGATTGTAGTCATAGCCCTTTGTACTCCCGAAAGCATACCGATGCAACCGACTGTGTCTCCGGACAGCAGTTTCTATTCAACCACCACAAACCTGTCGTCCACCAAAGACGCAGGTGCTCTGAAGGAGGCAAGCCTCATGTAGAAGCAGCGCCCAAAGTAGTGGAGCTATCAGCGCTTAGTTCCGCAGTGGACGACAATGGTGAAGCAGAAATTCTCACCAAAGTCACAGCTTCTGAACTGGGTTCAGTCAGATTTGCGTGGACAAGCAGCAAAGCCCACCGAAAAATTAACCACATGTGTCGACCTCGACATTGAGGAATCCTGCGACAACCACACGACCACTGAGAATTTGAAACTGCCAATCTTCAGCTCCACTCCGACAAAAATGGCCTCTGCTTGTGGTCGTAGTCGACGCCCAGGACCCCGACAGCCAAAGCCACAAACGTGACCACAGCGAACCGGAAAATCCCTCGTACTTCCACACTGATCGCCGGTGGGTCGGGTGTCCGCACAAACACGAAAGGAAAGCGACTGCAGCCAAACAAGCCACATGAGATTCGCCAGATCAGAAAACGGCGAAACCACGAAAACAAGTCTCGTGGATGCACAACCACAATACTCAGTTCTTGGTGTCGCCAGCCAGCGCTTTCCAGGCATATCGCACCAAAACGCCCAAGAAGCCAGAAAGACGAAAGTGTGCCCCAAATCTTTGATCAACAGCAAATCTGGTTGTCAAAAACGCAATGCTGAAAGAGCTACAAGCAGCAACGGTCGAAATTTTGCCCACAGGGAAAAATCCTCGTCCCAAAAGCTAAAGGGCTCGAGCAAACCGGTCTCCCACTGAACGAAAAAAACTGCAAACAAAAAGTACTTCCAGAAACCACCTAGACAGAAAGCAGACTATTATGCCCTAGAGGCCCCTTTGGAGCCTTGAAATTAAGCTCGACGCACAGTCATCGATTCTGCCAACCTCTCTGGTCACTAAACTCTTGGCTCCTCAGCCTCAGAGGCAGCAGAGACAGTGTTGAAATACTTGTCCACTAAGTGTCTCAATCTTTTCAACACACCGTCATACTAAACAGTCAGCTCGCCTTAACTAACCGCTCGTAATTGCATTCACAGAGACCTGGCTCACACCAGATGTCTCTGACACGGACATCTTGATAGACGGTCGCTCTAATTTTCGAGCTGACTCAAAACGAGGAAGGGCTGGTGGGGCTGCCCTGTACTTACATGCGGCCCTACCAATACTGATTGTCCTCTGTGACACCATCCCTGCACCGTTTTGCGATGCACTGTGGGTCCAAATCCCTCTTAGCGCATCCGATGTTCTCCTTCTCTGTGTGGTCTACCTCAGGCACTTGCCCCCCTGAAGATGACCAATTCCTCATACGAACCCTTGAGCAATTCTCCCCCAACTACCACTTCACTCATCTCCTGCTGGTAGGTGACCTCAATGCTCCAAAGGCCTCCTGGATAGAGCTCCAACGCGTCGAATCAAGCAGGCCTTTTGCAGTGACGCTCATTGAAATCGTTCAACAGAGCTCTTGAACTCAACACGTCGTTGCACCCATCAGATACCGCGCAGGCCAGCCACCAACGCTTCGGGATTTGGTCATCACCAAAGGAAGACATTTCATTGATTACGTAACGATTAGAACTCCACTGGGACATAACGACCACTGTGTGCTGGCCTTTGAGTGCACATGTTATTGGGACAGAAATTCAGAAACTCAAACGTGGTTTCGAAAATTCTGCTGTGCAGGCGTCTCAGGAATGTTCTTCCTTCTTGAATAAGTTGCAATGGAACCAGGCCCAGTGGAAGAATTATAAAGGATCATTGACCAGAAAGGTTACGAGGTTGACGCGATGTTCACTTGAGAAAATCAGCACGCAGATCGATGATCCGCAGGCTACATAAAAGCATTCGGCATCCTCTGGGAAGAATTTGTAAATTTTGGTCAAAACGATAATTACAGGATATAGAAGAACAGACGTCAAATCGTAAAACGCGGAAAAACTACAAATAGAAAGTCCCCACAATCGAACGCAAGAAAACGTTCCAGAAATCTACAGCTCGATACAAAATATGAACCGAAGTGTTCAAATACATGTAGAACATTTCAGAACCACCCTATGCCCTCGCGACGTCCTGTCAAACGTCGAATACCGCCAACTTCCTCCGTCCCACGCTACATTGGTGACGGAGGTGGGATACAGTCAGTCCCGAGACTCATATGCGACATGCCAGCTAAAAACACCAACGTGACGGGTACAACTGAAGACGAAATGTGCAGATATAGAGATTGGTATTACTGAATCCACACGACACACACAGCACACATTCGCACTGGCCAGGTGACACAGGAAGGAAGACCGGAGCGTGGCAACAACACACGTGTACTCAACCGAAGTTGAAACCGGAAGTCGGGGGCACAAAGATGGGTCAAGGTCAATCAGAGGGGTATACGAGCAGGTTGCTGTTTCCCGTCCGGGGCTCGTGGAGGCTCGTCCGTGTTACCTGCAATAGGAAGAGAGAGGCACACATAAAGTCACATGATAGACGTGCAAGCAGATACGGTTGAGTTTCAACTGCGTTACCGCGTTTCGTGCGTGGCCATGTGTCGCTGATTGGGGCCGATTTTCCTTCTTCGCTTTCCTTAAACTTGCACAAATTTGTGGAACAGTTTAGAAGGAGATCCCTATAATTTAAGGTTTGTAACTGTTTTATTACGTATTTTATCCATGTAGTACCACATTTCACTNCCCTACAAGTTGGGAAATGAACTTATTATTACTAATTTTCATAGGATATTGCCCACTGTTTATGGCACTGTCCTCTTTTTTGCACAAGCCCCAGTACCTGCAACTTCCCCCCCGTCGTGCTTTATTCTGCCTGTACACATATAGTAATGCCACAAATTGGAAACAAACATTATTATTATGCTGAAATGTGAGACGGCGCACTACTGAGTCCAGTAGTTCAATTAGAAGGAAGCTCCAAACTGACCGAGCATACTTATGGGTAGCTGTCGAACGCCGAGAAAAGAGCACCCTCCTCAAATTACCCAGTCGAATATTCCACGGGCGTTGTGCCCCAAATAGTCACTTAATTGCTCATCTGCGTCCCAACGAATGATGACCCATCTGAACGCTTAGCCCGCCAGCTGCTACTTGTCCCTTCCTACAAAATTCGAGCCCATTCCGTCTGCCGCACATATCACAAATAAAAACTTCCAGTATATCCACCAGTCCCTTAGCAACGTGAACTTCTCCCTAGCTGATATTTCTGCACCACTTTTAAAATTTAAGGAGTTGGTTTCGCCCGAAGCCGATGGCCTTTTACACCGAATTATGAGAACAGCGGTCGAAATATCGGCGTCCCCGTCCCAGATCTTTTTAACCACTGGATACACTATATACTCGTCTCTTTCCAGTGCGTGCAATCTGCATTCCGCCCGCATTTCGGTTCCGAATCACGACAAGCTATTTTCAACTAAGGGGGTCCACCATACCTCCCCTTTATTGAGAACCCTTGAACGCCTGATCAAAGGCCCAATAACCAAGTTCCTCACAGTTACGAATGCCATAGATGACCGACAGTGCCGATTCTTGCCAAGGTGATATGTCAGCAAGCGCCAGCTCCATTCCTTTGACACCATCACGTAAGCCTATGCCGCTGGCCACTCCATAGTTTACTTGGAGATTCAAAACGTTTTCGACGAGGTGCCTCAGGCATCCCTGCGATATAAGCTTCATACCGTTGGCATCACGGGAAACTTATTTCACTGGTGTGCCTCCTACCTATCCGACAAGACGCAACTAAAAACCATTGGGTATAAACAATCAACCTCACTATCGATCGCCAGTGAAGTCATACAAGGAAACTTGCTACGCCCCCTATTCTTAGAGTATATCAAATTCTTCGGCGTCGTGCCCCACGTTAAAGCCTTCCTCTTCGTAGACAATATAAAAACCGCGCACACATTTCCTCTTACTTTTTACCAGAGTCAGTGAGACTTGGACTCGCTCACTCGCTGGCCAAATGACTCTGGCCTAGAATTCTTTTCTGCAAAATACTGAAAAACATCCTGCCGCCGCTCCCTACCGCTTGCTGCGTTCATAATTAATGAGAATTTCATCATTCACTCCACAGAGGCCAATGATCCTGGTCTCAGATATTCTTTTACATTCAGCTTTTCCCCTTAAGTCTAGTTCTAGGATGCTCGAGCGCGTAGATTCAGCTCTCTAATATTGCGCTCCTTTCACCTTTGAGGCGGAATGGCCGCCATTTTTAAGCTATGAGTACGGCCAATCTTAAAATTTTGTCCCGCGTTTACTTTCCTCTATACCCAAAGTAGTAGGCTGTCTTTTGAAAGCGTCCAACGCCTATTCATAAAAAGGACGTTACAGGGTACAACCAGCCGTCACGAAGACACTGGACGTTACCGTTTTTTGACGGTTTGCGCACCTCAGCGACCCATTAGGCTATACATGGAGGATATTCTCGCGACACTCACAGAGTCTCTCATATGTGGTTGGCCAATGGATAGAGGGCCGACGAACACGGCATCCCCGCCCTCCAGTTCGGGGGTTGGAACACGTGGTGATTTGTTCCATGGAAATGGTAATGCATTTGCATTTCCCGCCAAACACCGCTGCCTTGCCGTTAGGCGTTTGAGCCAAAGGACTTGGTTCATGACCCTAAGCGTCCAGGCGTGGGCGCGATGACAATATCACAGCTCACGTACAACGATGACACCTACATCTAGCAATAAACTCGTGACACATCGTCCGTCGTGTGTTGCCATCAGCCGGGTTGTTTTACTTGCAGCATACAACAGGGCGGGTAGCGAAAACAGGCTACTGCTGAC